TTCCGTAAGAAAAACGGATGTTTTTTACTCTTGTGTAGTCGGGAGGAGAAATAGTGTCATTAATAAATCCGCCACATCTCGTTAGAATTTCGATTCTGTGAAAAATTATGTACGTTAACCTAACGAGTTGAGAACATATTTAAGTTTACAGCAAAACTTGTGTAGTACGAGTGTTAACGGACTCACTCGTTGCATTTTGTATATGTTAATCACACGCGATTAAAATTCAATTATTTACAAATCATTCTTATTAATTTCTTTGTTTTTTCTTTTTTGTCTTACAAATTCAATTTTACTGATTATATGTACACGAGCGTGTGAGTGTGAGCACTTGAACATATATAAACAAAGCAAAATTTTGCAAATGTATTATCAATTAGCCTCAAATTTCATTTGGTTTATTTTCGATTTGCGAGTTGAAATGCAGCAACAAAAACGATCAACATGAGATTTTCAGATGCAGATGTTTTCAATTAACATGAACAGCCGAGATGGTGTGAGCGTGAATATGAAGCACAACAAACAAGTATAAAATTAAATTTCCACCAACAATGATAACCACGAACGACCACGAATAGCAACAACAATAAAAAACGGCAAACGACATTAATTTGTATGTGTGTATGTGTGTGTGTGTTTGCGACTATAAACATTTTAAATGAGAAGAGGGCAACGGGTGAAAACGATTATTTGCGTTGGACGAGCTGTATGCACGACGAGCGTGCGTGTGTATATGTGTGTCCGTGCGTTATAGCGCTTGTAATAATAGAGCAACAAGACGTTACCACCTACACATGAAGAGCACTAATACTCGCATAAAATCCGCAAATGTTTATGAAATTTCAAAAAAGCAATCAAAGCTTAAGTAACATGAAACACATGCACACACTCGCTTGCACTTGTATATATGCATATGAAAGTTTACACATTTCGTACGAATTGTATACAAAACGAAGGCTTAAGTACGCATCTGCCAGGCAAACTGACATTCAAACGGACGCAGACACGTAAATGCAGTACACAGAAAAAGGACATTTTTGGTTAAATCTAAGTGCATGTGTATGTACATCGGCCGAGAGAGAGTGCAGTTAATTGAATTTTATAAGTGCAATAAAAAAAGGAAAAAAAAAAGTAATTGAAAAACAAGAAAAAAAAAGAAACGGACAAAACAATATTGCACTGCTAACCAAGACGCACGAACGTCGGCAACAACACATATGCATCTGCGTATAAAATCGAATGCGAGCGTACATACAAGAGTAAGACTAAGTAAGTAAGGTAGAGGAAATCTCCTCGAACAGCAAGTATAGCGAAATTTTTTTATTTCCATTTTTATCTCCTTTTCTTTTATATCGTCTTAATAACAAACAATATACGAAATTGATACTTGGTATGAATACGAAATGAGTTCGTACATGGTTTACATGCACACAACATACCATTGCAACCAACTACCGTGGAGTCACTTGGCAGCGAAGTCAATATGTGTCTGTAGTTGAACTCTCTTCACAACTATGTACATCATTATGTAGATAGACGTTGCCGTATCCTTACTTGGTGCCTTTTTCTTTTTACATACATTTCAATCTATTCTCACTGCACACACATAGAATATTAATATACATCAATACATATACACTAAACAAACAAACACTTGGCATATTCGGTTTTATTCCATTGTTGCTGATAGCATGTACTGATGTACTGATGTTTTTATGCTCTCGGAGCGTTATATGTGAGGTTATTCAATATAATGTCAATTTACTATGCAATTTTATTTGTGTCACACGACCAACAATCAACTATACGACCATTCAATGCAGTATTTCAAGTGTCAATATCATTATCGAGATTGAGTTTTTAGTAAATCTCTGCGATTCGGCTGCGACTCTCTAGAGTTCAAGCATTCCCGTCTGTTTTGTGGTTTCATTGTTAAATTATGAAAGTCATTTTCTTTATTAGTTTTCCCTCACAACTCTTATGTAAAATGTATTGGATTTCCTCAAAATTTTATTGCCTAATATCTCCGACCATCATCTTTGGTAGATAATTAATGTTTCTTTCCTCATTATCAAGGCAAAGGATATATTCATTTTGTCTTAGCGTTAGTAACAGCGGACGGAACCTATCGGAGATTAGGTAGATCTTAGAGATAGGTAGACATAGCGAAATGTGTGTATAGTATAGGAACTAAATGAGAACTCCTGGCATTCCAGATTTTTCATTCAAATCGGGGCATAATCTAACATAGTCCAAACCATCATTCGATTGCCGTTTGACTTTTCTTTGCTGCGACTTTTTAGATATCTGAACGAAAAACAGAACGCAGTAAATTCCGAATGCATGTTTTGGATAACAGCGAGCTGAGAGAGTTCCATAGCTAGTAAAATAAATCGTAGTCGGATAGGAGAAGGCCTACACTATATAACAATATCGCGAATGCGACCAATTTTTTTTTGTTTTTCTGTTAATCAATATTGAACGTTTTAATCCTATTACTTGTTGCAATAGGTCGGAAGCGCAAACGAAATTTTTGGAGGGGAAAAACCATTCACGGCCTTATAGAATATACAAACTTTTATTGTCGCAAGCTTTTGCTTTTTAAAATAGATGTGTTCTGGGGTTTTACGATGCTGTGCACGTATCTCCTGACGGACTTGACACACTTTCAATACCAATCTGCGCGCAAGAAATTGCAATGGTGTTTACCAAATTCGAAGTTAACACGTTCACTTTTGCGATCTCGAGAGTGGTTGTCGTGGACACTACGCAAGCGACCATAGGGACACACTTTGATCAACTAATTATACTGCTGCTGATCAAGGATACATGCACTTTACAGTAGGTATCTCTGCCTCTGAACCATCTGCATAGGCAAATGGTTCGCCAAGCGAATATATGCTCGTCCTTCGATGCTGGATATAAAAGCAGGGAAAATTGCAATGATTGCATTTCCAAGATGACGAACGTCTCGTTAGTGATGCAATCAATCGAACCAACGAACTTGTGCGCTCACATTGATGAGTACGCTAAAGTTTATTTCGAACTAAATATTTCATTAACTGAAACAACAAAGGTTAACATTACAATATTTCGGTATATTACTTGCAAAAAACTGCTGCTTTGTTTTTCATCTGTTACGGTGTTTTCACCCCAATAACTGTAAATAATTAATTTATGCACAAACTATTGTAAATAGGATTAAAGAAGGAAAGCAAATAAATTTTTAACATATATCTGCAATTATTCTTTATTCCATAACGTGGCACTTGAAAGTCGTGCATGGGTTAGCTGGAAAGCTCATCTCAATTAGGCCAATGGTAACAGTACAACGTAAAAACAATAGCATTATTTACATTTTTCGTTTCGTTTACATCTATCGAATAAATGCCAATCAGTAAAGATATTATAAGTGCTCAAGCAATGAAGTCTAGGTAGATAGAGTAAATGTTTGGACGGATCGGTGCACACACTGGTCACTTAAAATATATTAAAGCAATAAAGATCTCAAATTGACTGAGAATAAATGCAAAACAAGTGGGAAGGAAATGGGTGCACTTTCAAAAAAACAACGAATGATATGATAAACATGCTTGAAGGGGTCAAGAGTATACACGAAGAATGGAAAGATTGAGTTTATAAAGTTATCCATTTCCGAAAACATATTGTGGCAGAAATTGTTCAATCACAGATAACAATATAAAATTAAACACATTCCATAGCAAACTTAGCTTTTATTCGAAAGACTACGACTTCGAGTAGAGAGGGGACAGAAAGACAAACCAAGCTACACAAAACACCACTTAAATGTTTGGGCAAAATGTTGTAGCAAAAACCGAAAAATGGGGAGAAAAAAAAAAAAAAACAAAACAAAACAAAACAATAACAACAACAACACTGACAAAGTGCTGCTATTACCAATTGCGCTATTAATCTGCCACATTTGCACTTTCCACATATTTGAGCGTTTAACACATACGGCGATGTTTGCCTTTACAAGTATATCTCCATTTAACTCTTCTTCTATCCAATGACGGAAAGAGAGACAAAGACATTTATAGGAAAGAAAGTCTTTACTCACCCACACGCGTCTATACGAAATGTGAGTATGAGTAGTAAAACCCCAAAAGCAAAACGATTTCTATTTAAAATGTCGTCACACTGCAAATATTGTGTGCAAAGTGATTTCAACTGAGACAACAACAATAATAACAATTCTACATGGCAGCCATACGTTCATTCAGTCAATTCAGTCTTGTACGAATGTGGATAGAAAAAATAACTAAAATAATTTTTTTTTTTGCGCTTGCGCAAAGCCAATAGCGACGAGGTAACCGCCTCTTTTCCAAATTTAACAGAATGCTGCCAAGTTTTCATTTCGAAAGAAACCAGTTCGTATCGCTCGACGAACATATGCAAAAAGGAGTTTGACGGGAGCGAGAGAGAGGGCGGAGTTTAGTTATTGGTTAAGCACTGTGCACATTACGCGATATAGTAGTAGTAGTAGTAGTAGTAGTAGTATAGTGGAAGAGTAAAAGCTATTATATTAACATAGGTTAGGTTTTTAGGCCTTGGCTGATTTGATTGTATGTAAAAGAACATTCGTTTATCTTCGCACACAACCAAAGCATTTAAAAAGGAAGGAAGCAGTTAAACAGGTTTAACAAGCCAAAGAGCTGCCGGTATTTTCAGGTGGTAGTTTAGTGGTATTGGTGGTAGTTGTGTTCTGATATTGGTTACTGATGGTAGTGTGATGATGGTCTTTTTAAGTATCGTTTACTTGTGAATGAAATAAAGTAAAACTACTGAAGATATTGTTCATTAGCTGAGCCTAACAAGCCACCAAATATATCTGCTTGTGTGATTGTTGATTGTTAAAGTTGCATTGTGTTTGTAACGGGGTAGCTTGACTATTCAGTTGGCGTTAACACCTCAATTTGTCGAGTTCGCTGAAGCGCTTTACGTTAAACGATTCTAACTTCAATTCAGAGAAAAGAAGGAGAAGATTTATTTGCCCAAAACAGCCTCGCTAGCCACGGATAAATAAATGACTTCATATATGATAAATACTTAATCTCGATTTATTTAGTGAATAAATGTTGCAAATGGCGAAAAAAAACATATCTGCCATAAACGAGCAGAATTAAAGTGTGATTAAGCGTTACGCGAAAAACAAGCAAGCAACGGAAATTCGAATAGAAAGAAGTGAACAATAAAATATTACATAATATCTTGAATGGCCTCATAATTTACTGCAGCTAAGTACTTTAGCTTGTTGTTAAACATTTTGCGTGCAAAGTGTCGCCCTTAAGTGCAATCAAATTCATTTGAGTTAAAAGAAAAATCGCCGGTTTCGAATACTAGCGTGTTTTGTCTCTTAGATTTTTGTTTTCGATCTGCTTCAATATGTCATCTCATGAAGACGACGATCGTGACGATACGGAGGAACAGGAAATACATGTCGATGTCGATTCAGATTCACGCTTATCGTGCGGCACGGGCTCCGATGTCGATATGGACGGTGGCAGTTGCTACGATGAAGTAGAAGCCCCGTTGAGGTATGTGCTCCAAGGTTTATCATATCGTCGACACATTTTTTGTTATCGTAAAAAAGTGTATCACTTATCGTAGGCATATAAACGTTGATTACCTGTATACCAGTGCATGCTGTGGGCTGATAGCCGCAGAATATTATCTCCCTTGATAAAGGCCTAAAAGTCACAAATTTTTCAAACTTAAGGTCAAAGGTGGTCTACCATAGATCTTTACCGACGGGCCTACGGTTACACGGGAAATACGAACTACAGACATTTACTTTTAGCAATTCTGCTATAGAATAGTTGGACTTCCATTTAGGAGATAACTAGTATTGATGTTTTTGAAGTTTAGTCCCATGAGGATGAAATGAAGATCAAATTATAATATAATCGGTTTTTGATGGCCGCTAATGTGGGCTGTAGACGCCACCATATTTGATTTTCACGGGTGAAGTATATACATCAAGTCGAACATATTTATGGTAAACGAAGGAATAAGAAAGCGGACGATGCATTTAACAATTCCGAAAAGCATTGGTAACTGCATTCGATATTGATGACCTGTAGGATTACAGTCAGCGGAAAAATTTTCGTAAGCTAAGTGGTCGCTAAATAGCGATTATTATACTTCCAGGCTTAACTTAATCTTCACTTATTTTAAAATTTTATCTAAAACTCATTCCTAAGTTTTCGACAGCGATACTTGCGTACAACTTGCAATAGTAACCTATCATTCAGTCATTGGAATATCCATAAGCGACTTTTGGAAAGTTTTCAAAATGTCTTTCTTAATATTTCAAGCAGATTAACAAAATAACTCTCTCTTAGTACGACGTTACTTTGTGTACTCACTATTTAGGAGCAAATCGTTCGCACAGGCAATATATGTAAAGACCTATTAAACACTTTAACTTAATGTTTCTTGCAATTGGTTTTTTAAACTAAAATTGTCTTCAATTCTCAGGACTTAGCAGCCATTTTGCACAGCAAAATTTCTTGTTTTTCCTTTGGTCACGTCCGTCCTCTAAAAACTCATAATTCGGAATAAAAAGCTGAGAATTAAAGAGTACTAAATTTGCGAAGTCACGTTAAGTATGGGAGCATTGTTTGAATAATCATATCGGCGGAGGTGTCTTGGGAAGTGATGTAAATAGCTGAAGCAAGCCGATAAATCTGAGAAACTTCATGTAATCGTAGAGAACATAACGACTTCAATATAGTTGCAGCCCGATTCCAGAACTCTTAAATAAAAATCAAGTGTGTAACGGGACGTCCAGCTTGAAAATGATCTCATCGAACAACTGGTCTGCTTATGGTTAGCAAAATACATTTTTCATTTATCACAAATATATCGACGCAAGTCTTAGGCTTAGGAAATTGTCTTTTAAACGTATCTGTGCCACATATATGTCCCCGGTTGCCTTCAAATATAGCACCCGTTGACTTGAAGTTGGAGTTTATATCGACTTTTCCGCAACAATAGGTTGAATCTAGAAAAACAAAAGGGTGTTTCGTTTCTTATGTCCCAAGACTTGTAAACTAACAAAAAGATATGCGACGCATATGGAGGATAAGAGAGCGTATGTATCCGATGTTGTTTGCAAAATCTTGCTGCCTGGATTTTAGTTTCCAAGATGCTGCTCGTGCTTGGGTCAATCAGTCGTTCAAGTTTTTATCGGTAATTAGTAGGTAGGGATCGTACATAAATCCAACATTGTCGATGAAATTCTTCAAAAAACTAAGAGAGGCCGTTACACTTCACGATGTGCCTTGGCTGCAGAACTAACTGTTAACCCAAAGCGTCTTGATCCTTTCAGAAAAGCTTGGATACAAAAAAACTCGATACTGTTATCGTAAGCAATTTAAGAGCATCGGGCTTGCATTTGAGGAGCGATGTTCACGAAAATCGAAATCGATCCGTTTTTGAAAATATTCGTGGCTTCATGCTTGAAGGCACGCGAAAGGTAGCAGAAGGCCAGATTGATGCCACGTAAGGTGTTGGGTTTGGTTGGCGCGACTGGAGAGCAAGCGTGCATCGCCAGCCGCTCGTATTTGGCCAGACCACTGATTTTGCCCTGTACTCTCGACGACTAATGCGATTAAAGCGCGCAATTGCGCTCTCCAGGCAAATTTGGCAAAGATTGATTATCTAGTCATGAGCCTGCCTTTTCGGCAACCAATTGTATTACTATTGTATTGCATTCATCTCTTGCTGACCTCAAAAGAGATCCGTGAAAGCCCGTCCATTAAGTTTTTCTTCACACAATACTAAGTTGCTTCTATTGGGCCAATCTATCTCGAAGCTCTAAACTCAAATAATAAAACTTGTATAAATAACGAAACCCCCTTATTTCCGAGTATAAGGCATTAGAAAGGTTGCGCAAAATGACCTTGGCCCTTATCAGTCCCTCGTAACGTAGATAGGTAACTTATTTTTGAATGCGATTAAAGCGCGCAATTGCGCTCTCCAGGCAAATTTGGCAAAAATTGATTGTCTAGTCATGAGCCTGCCTTTTCGGCAACCAATTGTATTACTCTTTGCATTAATCTCTTGCTGATGTACATACGTAACTTATTTTTGAATTGAAATGAATTTGTGTGGCGTAGGGCATAGAAAAGTTATGCATATGCAACTCAAGTCTACGTTTCTAAAAATATCTTCATTATTTTGTAAGAATTGCAGCTGATCTCTCGGGGGATCTAACGCTAATAAATTTTCCTCTTGAATCATAATATCGTTGAATTTATTGAGAAAGATAACTACTTCTGGATTTGTTATTATCTGGCGTAACAATGCCAGCACTTTTCGCTATAAATAATAAAATACGTATATTTAAGTTGATAAAAATTCTAAAATTGCTTTAAGAAAATCATTCATTTTTTGAAATTCAAACAGAGAGAGAGAGAAAAAAAAAAAAGAAAAAGATTTAATTCATCAACAGTCACGCAATTGTCTTGATATTTAGTTTTTATTTATTTTTTTTTTGTTTATTTTCAAAAACCAATTTAAGCATAAATCTTGGTTTCTTGTTGTTGGTTTTAACCCGCGAGCTACTGTATTTAGCAATCGCTTTTATTTAATATTTCGTGTGCAATAATTTTCTCATGTGTTGACAACAACAGCATGCTTGTATATTCTCGCAGACATATGTAATATTTTGTCTTTGGTTAATTGCAATATAAAATGCTTATCATTTGACGCCGTAAGTTGCGTGGGCTACTGCATAGTCCGACTTGAAATGACTAACCACAACCTTATAGAGTAGCAGTAGTGGCGTTACAAAGTACAGCCATATGGAACTTATACTCATTTCCACGATATAGCAGTGCAAACGTGGCCATTGTACTGGGGTGCACACGCATGTAAAAAGGTCGTTTTTTTCACGCAAATGTATTTTAATTAATAATATATGTTACACCAGGTATTCGGGCAGACAGCAGAACATAAGAACATAAAAATGTTAAATAAATCTTTTTATGGCCTTTCGTTGTTTAGCAATGGAATATTTAATATCATTTTGTTATCGCTGACACTTTTGTAAAAATCATTAATTCTTTCAAACGAAAACGAAACGAAACGAAATGAACGACTCACTACTACTTCATAAATAAATTGAAAAATTTATACAAAAAAGCAATTTCTCTTTGTTAACTAGCAACTAACGTCTCTGATTATTATAAAATATGAAGAAGAACATCACACGAATTCCATAAGCAGTGTCTTTAAGTGGTTAAATGCGAAAATTGTGCAATGGACGCACGAACGCAAAAAAGTTAATAAAAAATTTTTCTTTGTTTTATATCATTCTTGTCAATAGCAGTGAATCACAATCGGAGCAAACGCGCTCATCATCAAGCGAAAATTTACCGTTTAGTATATCACGCCTGCTTTCGAAGCCTTTTGAGAACAACAATCATATTAATAGCAACAACAATAACAGTAGCAACGGCAGCAATAAGTCGGCTAGTGATCCAGACATAGCGAGCGAACACGATTTGGCCGCATACAAACTGGCTACAAGTCTAGCATCTTCTACGTACGGAAGTGCGGCTACCGCACTTTACACATACCCACACCTATATCCATCGGCAGCGGCGGCGGCAGCTGGCCATGTGCTGAGAGTACCACCACAACGAACGCCATTAACTTGGGCTTTACCACCTTTACATCATGCTGCGCTAGCGCATCAGGCTGTCAAAGATCGACTAGCAGGTGAGCAAAATACATGAGTACATACGTTCGAACAACTTTTTGTTTTAATGATATTCAATTTATGTTTTCATCAAGTTTTCGCTAAGCGAAACATTAATTGTTATAGACTTTTTAAAGCCATGTTTTACAAACGCAACGGGGGCTTTCCTCCTTATCGCTATTTATTGCTTAATAAGCAATAACTTTTAATTATTTATAAGAGTTTTTCAAATTAAATCCGGTTTCCATTCCTTTTACAACTCTTTTGGAGGCAGCAATCTTGGAAGAACACTTACTTGCGATCGATCATAACTGAGAAACATTGACTCATTGCAGTTTAGCTTGACTTAGTTAATTAGCTAATTTCTTAATTTAAATCTATACACTCTTCATCGAGAAGGCAAGATACATCACACCTTCAGTCGGCTTGAGATGTTTGCCTCCTATTTACATCGAAATAAGTTTCGAATTAAGAAGCTAAAGTCACGAGTTTTGTGAAATCGGCGCAATAGAGCAGAACTGAAGAAAAGCTGGTCGATAGTGGGTATAGAAGTCGAAGCTTTTCGCTAAAATCTACGTCATTTTCTTATTTTTCATCTTCTTTAGTGAGGCATTTTTGCCGAACATGCTTAATTTTCTCTACTTACTCCGTTTCTTGAATAGGTTTCTTTAGTGCAAGAGAGGAGTGCTAACCTTTAACATTTGTTTAACATTTGTTTGTAAGGGGACGTAACGCATCCTTGATAGCCTGTTTTGCGACCATCCCGCAGCGCATGTGATCTTATCGGTGGGTTGGTGGCGCTTGTTCTACACTAAATTAAAGTCTTTGATTTTGGATAGTGAAATAGAGTTTATCTATTTGAGGTAGAGTAACTCTATCCATGACCCTCATAACGGGGTTTTTCTTGTACTAAATATGACGACACTAAGCGTTCCTTTGTCTGCGTTGCATTGTTTAAATTCACTTGGCTGGCTACTTGCATCCGCCGCAATCCTTCCTCGCCTTGCCTATTAAAAGGGCGTCCACAGATAGATGAGCAGATAAACTGCTTGGAAAAGAGAGGCCAGGTCAACAAGAGAGCACGATTAGGTGCACATATTAGAATTTCAAATAGTGCGTGTTATTCCTTGAAATGTGAATTCAGTCATTTTTGGACGTTGCTTTTCGTCGCAACACTTTTTTGGGGGTCATCTCAAAAACAAAGTTGCGTCGTTAGACCATACACTCCAGGAGGAAATTTAGTGGAATTTAGACTTCCACCTGATTCCAACCTGACGACTTGCATTTCATAGGAGAAGTTTGCATCGCCTGATAACTCGGACTGCAAGCAAGTCTTAAGCCAAAAGTACTTGAGTGCTTGTTGTTTAAGAAGACAGATGGCGCTTTTCAGCGATAGAAAAACTAGTTTTGTCAATTGATTTGCATATCGCGGAGTATTTTCTAAATAAAATCTCTTCGATTATTTAAAATTGTAAACGTAAACTCAGCCCTGCCGTCGAACTTGGACCGACCATCAACCAAAGAGATACATGTTTTATCTTTATGAGCTTTATGAGCTGTGATGCCGCATTTATTGTAAAAAGACTTGTAAACTAACATTTACCCGTTCAGTGAAATATTTCTTGCCTTAAGTCAGAAAAGCATTTATTAAAACGAATAAAAACGGCAAAGCGACGGACAACGAAAGACTCACTTCAAGTTAAAGTGAACATCTTTCTTTTAGATAATCTCCGCTATAATCGTATGTTGGCTAAAAATCGTCCGTTTATAGATCTTTTTAGTACGAAATCGTATTGCATTGATTTTGCATTATTCGTACGTGCCGTTTAATCGCTTTTAGAAAGTTGAATAAAGTAATTTCAGCAAATAAAGATTGCAAGCATGAAATTACAAATATTTTTGCTATTATTTATCACAACTACTATAACAGCATTTTAATTTGTTTTCAACGTTCGTGATAGTTGTTTTAATTTAAACATTTTTCTTTTTAACTCATTTCTCTAATGATCTCCTCAATTTAGTTTATTGACACAATAACGATAACAATGCAAAGAAATTTAGTTGAGAGCAGATGGAATAAACTGCGAATGTAATGAGAGTTTTCATCAGTATCAGCATCGTACTTTTAATTACTCTAATGTGACAAATGTCATTTAAGGAGACCTATCAAAAATATATAAGTAACTACATGCACGTTTATGTGTGTGCTTCAGTACATGTGTCTTCATTTCCTACGAGCCAGATAAGCAATAAGTCATATAGACTTCTCTCACCCGACACGTCCAATGGATGGAACGGAGAACAAGCAGCAAAACAAATTCGTCTTAGGTCGAATTTCTTAGCACTCACCACTCGCAGACGAAAGCACTCACCTTTTTCCCTGCTCGATGTAGGCATTACTCTGCTTTTCGTAAGCTGATAATTGACCTTCAAGTTGGATTTTTACAAGAGAATGAATACTCGACACTCTTAACTTAAAGGCCTAAATGGGGGCGGGAATTTAGAGGAAGAAGGAGAATTGTGGGCTCAGCACAATTATAGACGAATGGAAATGTTTGAATGGATATTGTAATACGCGTCTACCCAAGATGTGCATATATGTACAGATTTTATAGAGTCTCCGATGCAATCTACGTCTTTTCATGTGTTACAAACGTTTGGCAGGTTTAATAATGTTTCCCCATGCTGATGGGTATAAAACGAAGAAAAACGCAAGCATTGAAAATCACGTGCCACAAACATTAACAGCGCTCCCGAATATAATAATAACATGAACATGAACATGAACATATGTATATAGAAACGCGTTTATATAGAAGAAGGTCTGTTGAAAAATGTACGCACAAGCATCCATAAATACCGGTATACGTGGAAGCAAGCTACTGGCCTTTTTCTGCACAAGGCAACACATACATCAAATGACAAACAAACACTTATGCGCAAGAAAATATGTTAAGATACTTCAATATTGTGAAACATAAAAGTAAGAAATTTTGCTCTTGTGATTGCCACAGAGCACGCACTTCGGAGCACACCAAAAAAAAAAACAAAAAAAACAAAAAAAAAGAATCATCATTGTCATTGTTTGTGTTGGCATACGGCTATATAGGAAGGGGAGAAGGGAGGGCTAAGAACTTTGTGGTAACAATAAGTGCTAACAATTTCAGAAATGGTTGCTTATTAAAATTGTTACTCGTCTGCAGCAGTTGCCGTGCACATGCTGGTTTATGTAACACTAATAAGTGCGATCAGAGAAGTCTTTTAAGCCAACATGCGTATCGGCATGTCATTCGTAAGTAACAAATCTGCAAATGAAAAACCTACATGCGCGTCGGCGTACGTGGCACTGACATTAAGCATTGTTATACGAATATTACTCTGCTATATAAATATATTAAGGCAATAATAAGAAGAACTGAAAAGAAATGAAAATATTTTCCTTTTCTAAAGTAACAAAACATGTTTGCTTTCAGTATGCAATCGCACCTTTCTAAACGAGAACAGCGGACACTGAAATAAACGTAACGTACACAACCGCCCAGAAGCTTGTTGTGTTCAATTCTCGAGTAGATGATGCTCCTTAAATACATTGCGCGCGCGGCATCGTCTACGTCTACGTATACATTCAAATGAATTTGCATAACACTAAATGCAAACACTTGCTACAAGTTTCGTTTTATGCAACTTGCTGCGTATGTGCGCTGCCGAGCCAGGTCTTGTGCGATTTGGAGGCATTTTTAAGATTCAGTTCGAATAAATGCTAATTTGTTTTATTATGAGCTTCACTTGTTGTCGACTTTTTAAAGTTGACAATGCTGACAATGAAGAGGCCTCCCCGATGCCAAAGATAAACTGATTGCTAAAATTTAAGCCTATTTTAATGCTCGAGCAAACACATTTCATGTGGAAACGAAATTAAATGACTACAGATCCCTCTCCGCAGTCTGACCTTTATTGATTACTTAGCATCGTGTGATGATCGTCTAACATAAGAGAATAGGCTCAAATATTTGCCGCTCAGCACTTGCTATGACAGAACAAGTGCCATCATGATATATATATATATATATATATATATATATATACACACACACACACACACAAACCCATTCATTCTCATTCAGTGTCGCTATATATACGCGTTAACATCTCAGCACACTCAGCTTAATGAGCATAAAATGATCTTGTTGTTGATGGCGATTCCCATTGTTGCTGTTGTTGCAGTTATTGTTGTTTCAAATATTTTTGCTCTTTTGTATTGATTTTTATTAAATTTCCTTTTTCCGTCAGTTATTTTAATGATGTGATTAACATGACTTTTTAATTTTCAAAGCAGCGAAGGGAATTAATTACTAACTGGGCGGTCTACAGTTGGCACTGTATAAAGTCCGTTTGCCTACAGTTAAAATTTATTATCGTCACCACCACACAACTGTCAATAATATTGAATACGCAGACTGAATACCGACAACAGCAATACGCATACATACAAGTGCACATGTTGGGCTTTTAATTTCATTTTTATTAATTGTTCACAAAATCCACTTCCATTTGTCCTATCGAAAGGTGAATAATACTCAGACAAATATCATGAGAAAAACAAAACCAGAAACGCCATCAAACTTCGCTTGCACTAGACATATTCAATTCGTGATGTCGTTCGCAACATATGTCTACCTGCATCTGTCTTTTAGTCTGGTTTAGGTCAGCAACACAAATAGGCGCAAGCACTTACGTTAAAGAAGAAATCAAAAACAAGTCGGAGGACACTTCAATAAGCTCTGTGCAAAAATAATCCAAATCGTTTTTTCTTCCTCAAAATACATTTTCTATTATGACAACTTTGTACATGCTCGACTCAATTTCTGATCGTAATAGCGACTCTTATGCCTTCTAATGATAATATGAGATAAACAAACACCGATTAGTATATCAGGGGTAGAACAAAGGGGGAAAATGAGCAGAATTTAACATCGGTATGAGGAAAAAGTCAAATAAGTGATGCATTACTTCTTCGGTA